ATAGGTGACAGGTGACGGAAGACGGGGACGCCTGAAGTTTAACAGAGTTTAACAGACATATGTCCCGCGTCCTCCCCTGGAGTTTATTTAATAGTTATAACTGTGGATACATGGCCATACAGGGGCAACTGTTTAACATCTGGCATTTGAAGTACATTTGAATTAACATACAGGCACGGAAAAAAAACCACTTAATAGGTTATAACAAAAGAAGAAAATTAAACACCTTAAAATGGTGTTCAATTTTCTTCTGCACCCTATGCAGTCAGAGATTAGATGGTAGAGCATTAGAGTGCATATGTCAGTGCAAGTAATGCACGTAAGCCCTATTACTCTGGTTGACAAAGGTCTTGGCCATATGCTGCAATGGTGGTTATTACTTTGCAGGTTTTATTATATGTCGACATACTGTCTGTATAAAGCTGCACATGTGTGATGTTGTTGAGCGCCCCGTATTCAATGGCAGCTGTTATGGCAACTACTTCTGCTTGAAAGATGCTATTATTTGGATTGAGGTGCCCTTTCCAATGGTGTGCAGCATGGCCTTGCCTGTAGTATATAAAGGCACTACCTACCCTCAGCAGTTTTCGAGCCATCTGTGTAGAACGCGTGCATATTAGAGTTTCTTTCTGGTTGACGTCGTGACGGTTTGAGGATAGTGTGAATGCCAAGTTCCTTGTGTGCTGGGTGCGTGTGGAGAGGAGTACATGGATGTTCGTAATTTGCAGGGCTATGTAAGGTGCCTGCAAAGGTTGCGTCTTTCTGTAGATGTATTATTTTAGTATATGTGGCCTCTAGCTCCGCTTGGATATGAAGTGGTATGATGCCTGCCAAGGTGACTGCTGCATAAGTTGCAGTGGTGCGGTAGGCTCTGCATAAACCTAGGGCGAATGGGCGCTGTAGTGATAGGAGTTGCTTAACCTTGCGTGCGGTCATGGGTTGTCCCATATAGTTGCCGCATAGAGTGCCACCTTCTCAGCTACAGTTTTGTAAAGTACCTTTTGAATGTGGGGATTCCGTGCCTAGTTCCGGCCTTGGAATTGTCGTGATCTCCTGGCAATTGCAGATGTTTTAATCTTTTGTGCCTGGATATGCGAAAGCCAAGTCAGACCTGGGTCCCATATTACCCCAAGGTATCTTAAAGTTATTACGACCTTAATATTCCGGCCTTGTAGTTTGATACATGGGCTACGTGTTGGATTTGTACCCTTTCTTGGAAAGATGATAGCAGTGGACTTTGTGGTGGATATTTGGCGTTTTAGCTCTTCGCAGAGGTTGGCAAAGATATTGCATGACTCACTGCCATGGGCTTCAAGCTCAGCGCGTGTGCGGCCTCTGACCAGTAATGCCGCGTCGTCCGCGTATGCAACTAACACAGTATGCTGTGGCCACCTTGCCTCTAAGACTTTATTAAAGGTGAGGTTCCATAGCAGAGGCCCTGCACAGGATCCCTGTGGACATCCTCTCACTTGTGTTATTGAAACAGTACTACTGTTGTTAGAGATCATCAGTTGCCGGTCTGCCAGATAGTTGTCCAGGACTTGATAGATATTTCTTGGGCATCTTGCCTCTCTGAGGGCCTGCCTGATGGCAGGCCACCAGAGGGTATCGAATGCACTTTGCAAATCTATCAATATAAAAGCCGTCTGGTAGCCCTGCGATTTGTTCTGAATTATAACTTCATGGATTCGCTGCAGGGCATGAGTGGTAGAACTGCCTGATTTGAAGCCAAATTGTCTTGGGCTAATGCTTTGGTATTGATGTATAGGAAATTTTAGCCTGTTGACGATGAGCTTCTCGTAGATCTTTCTCATCGCCGACAGAAGGCAGGTTGGCCTAAAGGAACTCGATACTAGGGGGTCTTTATCCTTTTTTAAAAATAATACCACATTGCCTTTTTTGAAAGCTGTGGGGAATATTTTATAATGCAGAAGCTGTGGTTGTAGTATTTATGGAAGTAGGATGGATCGTGCCTGATATGCAACTTTAATAATTGCGTAAGTCGAGTCCGTCTGGACCGTGGGGCCTTTTATTAGTGGCAGATACCGGAAGATATTACGTATTTCCTGTGCAGAAAACTGTATATCGTTCGGTGTGCATGGCGAGCTTGCATCTTCTCTAAGCTGCCTCTGTTCTGAAGTATCTGCTTGTGTATCATCTGTGGGAAAGATAGCATTTAGAAGTTCCTTGGCGGTGGAGGCCGCTACGTCCATAGTATGTGGTGCTGTTTTTTGAACTGGTACTTGCGCTGGTTGGAAGATCTTCTGCGTTGCCAGTTTGTGTAAAATTCCATGTGGATTACTGTTACTGGTGCAGAAAAATCTCCAGCTGTTAATTTTAGCTTCAAGAATTGCTTTCTTGTAGGCGGCCCTTTCTTGCCGAAAGGCCGTAAGGATGTTGGAAGCTACAATTTCTTTGGTAGCAGATCTGAGGCGGCGACGCAGAGCTCTGCACCTCTGTTTCATGTCTCTCAGTCTTCCCGTCCACCAAGATATGCCTTGGAGTTTTTTGGCGGTCCTTGTAGGGAGGATCTGCTGACATATTTGTCTGAGTAATGACAGAATGTGGTCTGTGTAATCATCCAGTTCTTGGGGGGTGGTAAGCTCTTCTAGTATCTCCTCTTCTCTGATGAGCAGCTCCTGAAAGGCCTTCTTCAGTCGTCTTATCTTTCCGCCCGGTAGTTTGAATCTCTGGAGGATATTAATGCTGGCTTCAAGTGTTAGTGTGAAGTGGATGTATCGATGATCTGAGTTACTCTCATCATCTAGAACATCCTATGAGCTAAAGTTGTTGGCAAAATTAGCAGTTGGGAGTGTAAGATCAGGCCATCCTTTATGATAGGTATTGTCATAGGTTGGTTGGGGCCCTTGACTATTATGTAAATGTAGATCGTGACAGGCCATAAAGTCTTCCATGTCTCGCCTTTTAGGCGTTGTGTCTTGGTACCCCCATATAATATTATGTGCATTGAAATCTCCTCCAACGACGAGAGGTACTGTTGGGCATTTCTGTTTCACTCGTATAAAGTTGCAAGTCACATCCGTAAGACCTTCCGTGGGCGGGGAGTAGACGGAGGTTAGGAGGAATTTCTGCTCTTCAAAGACGACTAGAATAGTAACGAAGTCTCTTTCTATGGTTACTACGTATGGAGACCAGGAGGGTTTGCAGCAGACAATGGCTGCCCGTGGTGCTTGTTCCGCATTGGCTTTCTTCTGAAAAATTTTCCATGCCAGTGGTAGACTTGCCACTTGGCCCTCGCGACAATAAGGTTCTTGAATTATCAAGAAATCTAAGTTATATTGAAGAGCATGCTGGACTACCTGCGTGGTCGCGGCTACCGCCCGTTGTAAGTTAATTTGTGTGCACTTTATCTGTGCTTGATTAGTTTGAACTTGATAGTTACTTTGTACTTGAAGTTTCTTGGGTTGGCCCGCGTATCGCTTGTGCTGTTGTCGTGCTGTTCGGCTCTTGTTCATTATTCATAGAGAGTGCTCCTTCTGACGCGTTCGATGTATCGTCCATACGTTGGGCAGTTGGTATCATAGGCCGGATGGTTGCATGGCATTGTGCTGCGTGGTTTATAGTTGGCGTCTGAACAGTTGATGCATGTTGGCCTGCTGGCGTGACAGTCCTTAACACTGTGACTTCCAGAGCAGGAGGCACAATAGATTCTATTGGTGCATGTTTGCTGAAGATGGCCAAACTCCTGGCATCGGAAACATCTTTTTGTGTCGAAGTGCTCAGCAATCCTATGTCCTCTCCACCCAATGAAGAGCTTGGATGACTGGAGGAGGCTTCTAAATACCGCTGGTTGACATTCAAGTATCAATTTGACGGTGTTTCCTCTGTCCTTGAGTCGGTACATGACTTTGGCTGTTGTTTTGGTGAGGTGGATTTCTGAGCAGAGTGCATTTTCTATCTCTTCTGGCTGGACGTCAGGAGTTCGTTGTGGATAGCCACTCGTGGTAGTCTAGTCAGTGGTTGTTTGATCTTGACTATTACTTGTCCCTGCGTGCTTTGTAAAGTAGTAGTGAGCTTGGTCACGTTCTCTTTGGAAACACAGTCTACAGCTAGTCCTCCTTTCTGTAGATTTCTAATAGAGGAGATTTTAACTCCAAGCTTCTGAATAGGGAAATTTTCGTTAAGGACAGCTTTTAGGTCCTTATTACCCTGTGCAGTACCCTCAGAGGGATAAATTAAAACCGTATGTTTTGGCTTCGGTCTGGTTGCTTGCGCGATGTTTTGACTCTGACGACGGTATCGCTAAGCGCTGATGAATCGTTGGTGCCTTCGTTGGGAGCTGTGCCGTGCAATGAACCGCAACAGACTATGGAGGGAGTGTTGGTACAGGCGTCTGCTGCTTCTGGTTCTGGTACGTAATTTGGACCTTCGAGTGCCAAAGTGCGCACTGCGTCTATCAAATCCAGGAGAGATACCTAATAACTCTACAGTGGTTCCCGAACTAAAAAGGATGTTGGATGATGATTTCACCCACCCAGGATTTGGCGAATGGGTCCCCTAAAATATCCCAGTCGCCCTTTAATAAGAGGTTGTATATGAGGTATTTCTCCCGTCTTCTTAGCGAGCCCTTGTGGTGTAGTGGTCTGCACGCTCAGCGCGTAATTGAGAGGTCCACGGTTCGATTCCCGGCAAAGGCGTTGCTAATTTTGCATCTTGCCTGATTCCAAAAAATTCTAATATCTCTACACAGTAGAATCTCTCATAACGTCAAGAGCCTGTTGTAGAGGGGCCTGTATCTGGTCTTCTTCGAAATCCATAGAATTTTTGAGTAAATCTACGCCAAACGCAAGGTTGTTCCATTGTTAAAAATAATAACTCTCTATATCAGTATGTTGAGTTTCGGTATCCTTGTATAAAATCTCGCATGAAAACATAGATAAAAATATGTCACAAAAACAAATGCAGACTCGGGAAATGGAAATAAAAAAAAAAAAAAAAAAAAAAAAAAAAAAAGATAAATTTCAAAATTATTTACTTACACACTGCCATTCCGCATTTTTTCCATCATAGTCATGTATGAGAAAATACGTCTTACACTTTCGGCAGAAATCACTCTCACTGATATCTACCGAGGAGAAGTTCATATTAGAAAGGTACAGTGGAATATTCTTCTTTGTTGATCTGAAAAACCGGAACACTGTGCCAATAGTTTCTCTACTGTCTGGTTCTTCACTAAGCATTCTTTCCAGTGGAGGATAATCAAATGGATAGCCAGTATCAAAAGCCCCCAGCTCTCCCATGTTAACAAAATTTCGTTCCTTTTTTGTATTTTGATCAACAATCACTAAATAAATAAAAAAAAGTATGATCAAAAGACAACCATATAATAAGATTTGCATCATTTTTAGCTTTCATGTTTTAGCAGTAGTATATAAAATAAATAGTAAAGTTAGTTATAAAATAGGAAATCTTGGAAATAAATATTTTCTGGTGATTTAATTCATGTACTGGATTTTTAAAACCAAAGATTCGATTTTAGATTAGTGTAATATATTCTGATTACATGCTCACCCAACATAATTGTGTACTTCCAGCTTTGAACCATGAATGTTAATTCGATGCACATCATGTATAATAAGAAATCGATGGACTCTAAAATATTAAAAAATAAACGATTTTGAAATGCATTATTGTTTCTTAATAAAAGGCTACTGCAGCGTTATAGGTTACACTGGAAACGATGTTTTTGCGTCTACAGCTGCCAGTTATAAATCTTGTTTCTTCGAAATAAAAATATTATAGGTACACAATTTTCGGCAAAGCTTTGTGAGCTTAAGCATTGTTGTTGACATTAAATAACCAAAGACAGTAAATAACCTACAACAAATCTGGCAACGATTTGATTATTATGCTAGTTTTGTTAATGTAAATAAAATATATTATCTGGAACTCTTATACTAAAAACAGGTTTGCTTTCTTCTCCTCAGTTACTTAATTAATCTGTATATAAAAGCATAACCGTTCAAAATAGGGCGCATCTTTTTTAATAGTTCTTTTAATTATATTATTTCAGTAATCCTTCTTAGTTCGGAAGAGTGCCTAATATAAATCCCTCTTATTTCTCAGTTTTATTGAAATGTATTATACAGATAGTGTATCATGTGGTATCTAGTCTTCTTAGCTAACATACAGTGTAACTAGATTTATCTAAAGGTCTATGTTGTGAATTCTCGCAAGGGCTGGAAGATGAATACCACAGGGTAAGATACATTGTACTGGCATTTCTCTCTGCTCGAGACTAAATTTCACTGAGAGACCCCTCATCCCGCAGAATATGGCACAGTGGTTAAATCTCTGGCCTTGCACCTTAGAGAAAGAGACACATCGCTTTTGCGACACAGGTCGTTGTCAATAATTTGCTACCTGTCAGTCGCTCGGGATGCCCGTCGCAGAGCGACATTACCCAGCGAACCCTGGACGCCACCACGGGCTACTAAAGTCCAGAACTTGCCATACCTACGGCCCGGTCAATAAGTGACCTTTTCGGGGCCTCCAGAACAACTAGGTTCGTAATTTGTATAGTCCCGTGGCCGAGACTGCCTAGGTAAAGATCCTAGCCGTTAGCTTCGAAGAGTTCTTTAAGTCGACCCCCGGGGAGATACGGCAGGATAAAGGTGTAAAAGACCCTTTTATTGAACACAATAGTTTACAACCTGCACGGTGATACATGTTTTCACAGTCACTGGCCACTCGCAATCAATGACACCCATATTTTAATATACGTGTATTTTCGTGATATGAAGAAGTTTTTCATGTGTATTGTTGCACCATTTCATTACAGATCTAAAACTTCAAGTAACTATTAAATGAACTACTGTTTATCTCTAATACTTATTTAGTCAACATCTAAAAATAAGCACAATTATATAAATTTATAAATATTTTTTAAATACAAAATATTGTAGCCTTTAAAATCTTTTCAATTAACGATATCCGAGTAATCATGTAGTTTAATTATTTCTCAGACAGCTCCACTCTAAAACCGAGTTTCGGGTTTAGAGGAGAGATACAGGCGATTACTTTGTTAGGAAAATAAGCGAAAATGGCAGGTAAATAAAATGATTATACCTAAAAGTGATAGATCGGATACTACGTGATTCTACGTGATTTATAGAATTATGCTAGAAAACGTATATTTAAATTAGAATATTACGTAATTATATCGCTATCGCATAAGCATAATTAGTTTATGATAATTTTCTCGTTTTGTTAATTTGTCAAATTCAGCACATTGCAACCTTCAACGTTAGCACCTATAAATTCCTTGTAGCTATATGTTAAATGTAATTACGTTTTCTCATATTAAGTTGTATCACACAATGAAATTTTATAAGTTTTACCTTCAACTGTAGATTTTCAAAATATACAGTAGAAATTTCTTAGTGTTGGGGAAGAGCGGAGAAATCGAGAACTTCAGCACAAAGGACTTCATTTTGTTAAAATGGTAAGATACTCGTACATAAGAAAGGATTACGGTGCAAATAATAAATAAGAGAGGCATCAGGAGTTAGAAATAAAGAAAATTTTGCTTAAAAGAATTCAACAGAAGACCTCATTTCATAACCAGGACAAGAGTTAAAAAAAACAATGAAATCTTAAAAATAATCCGAAGTTTCAATCAAACATTAATATTAGGAAAAAAAAGTTCTACAAAAATATAATTAGTGCTGAGTAAAATTAATATTAGATTATAATTTCTAATTGAAATTGTATAAAAATATACAGGTTGCTTCAAGAAGATAAAACATTTTAATCACTTATTTATACCAGCTTAGGTTTCTTAATAGTAAGTATAATTTATAATTAAATGGCTCAGTTTGATTTGATATCTTATTAACGCTGAGATTTAAATTTTAGGCACAATAGATTAGTTTTACCTCATAAAAATATTTTTTACATATCTTTCTCTAATTTGTTTCAATTTAAATATATAATAGTACTTTTGCAGAAAACTAAAAGCTTTGTTTTACCTGTTTCTGAACCTTTAGTTTCTTTTCCATTTACACAAGTTGCCAAAACCCATAAAATACCCAACAGAATATGAGCCATCTCTCAAGGTTTTTGTTCGTCTCTTTGTAAATAATAATTAAATAACATACTTTTATGACACGTAAAATGTCTAGAAAAGCTGCTTTTTAAGTTACGAAACTGCCACCTCATTTTTCTCATTTTGTTTTTCAATCAAACGCTTCAGATCGTTTCACAATTGCAGCCCGATTGTTCGGATTTGAAGTTTGATTTACCCAAGGGATATTCAGAATTAGACAAACTCGAATAAAATATAACCAGCTGCTTATCAATCAATAAATGAGGTTCTTCTTCGAACAAAAAAAAAGCATTGTAACATATAATATACTGAAAAGAAATAACACATTATTATTGCTTCCAGGATGGAAAATAGTAGGAGAAAAATATTACTTAATGTACCAAGAAAGCTTCAAAATATGCACAAAATGTACCATTTCAAAGCAACAAATTTTGAATTAAAAGAACAAGAATTGGAAATAAAGTTTGCATTTTTTCGAAACGAGGAATTTCAGTTTTCAAAAAAAGTTGCAAGTTCAGTTTAAAATAATCTATTATTTTTTTAGAAAAGTTCAGTAGTTGTGATATTTCAATTTACTTTCAGTTAATTGTGTAACAGAAAGAAATAAAGAAATCTGAGGTAGTTTAATATCTGTAAATATTAAACATATTTAATTGCATATCGCTATAACTGATTTCCATTTAAATAGAAATATTATGAGCCCACTTAAAAAATAAAAACTTCATT